CTCCTGGGCTTAGGCGATTCCCTTGACTCAGCCTCCTGAGTAGCTGGGAGTACAGGTGCCCACCACAACACCTGGCTGTTTTTTTGTTGCAGTTTGGCTGGGGCTGGCTTTGAACCTGCCACCCTCGGTATATGGGGCCGGCACCCTGCCCACTGAGACTCAGGCGCCACCCAAGCCCAAGAGTTTGAGGTTGCTGTGAGCTGTGATGCCATGGCACTCTACCCAGGGCAACAGCTTGAGACTCTTGTCTCAAAAAAAAAAAAAAAAAAAAGAAAGAAAGAAAAATAGCTGACAGAAAGGTATAAGGTTAAGGAATACTATTTTTTTTTCCCTTAACTGAGACAGAGTCTTACTTTGTTGCCCTCAATAGAGTGCTGTGGCATCATAGCTCATATCAACCTCAAACTCTTGGGCTCAAGCAATTCTCTTGCCTCAGCCTCCCTAGTAGCTGGTACTACAGGTACCTGCTACAACACCCATCTATTTTTTCTATTTTAGCAGGCCAGGTTCAAACCTACCAGCCCCGGAGCCTGTGGCCAGCACCCTAACCACTGGTGGTGCCCAGCCGGAATACTATTTTTTTTTTGTTTTTTTGGTGGGGGCTGGGTTTGAACCCGCCACTTCTGGCATATGAGGCCAGCACCGTACCCTTTTGAGCCACAGGCACCACCCTGGAATACTATTTTTTTGAAGAGGAGACTCTAGCATGAGTTCATACTTACAGAGAAAAAAAGAAGGTAGAGATGGGATTGAAGTAAAAAGTAACAGAAGACTAGCCAGGCGCTGTGGTGGGTACCTATAGTCCCAGCTACCTGGGAGGCTGAGGCAAGAGAATCACTTAAGCCCAAGAGTTTGAGATTGCTGTGAGCTGTGACGCCATGGCACTCTACCCAGGGTGACAGCTTGAGACTCTGTCTCAAAAACAAAAGTATTAGAGGAAAGCAGAAGTACAATTTATAATAGATTTAGAAAGATTAACCTCTGTCAGTATGAGGGAAGAGCAGGAGTAAGGGTGGAAAGCAATAGGTGTAAGTTATACATTGGGCATTATGATGACCTTGCCTCTTTAATCACACACAGAAAAGAATGAGGCTAGAACAGTTACTGAGAGAAATTAAAAGAGTTGACCATGACAGCTGCATAAGGAATTTCTCCAAAACTTAGTAGCTTAAAACAGTAAGCATTTGTTATCTGACAGTTTCTATGGGTCAGAAATTCAGGAGCAGCTTGGCTAGGTGGTTCTGGCTAAAGGTCTCTCTGAAGTTATGTTAAGATGTTGGCCAGTGTCAGGTGCCGTGGTTCACACCTATATTCTCAATACTGTGGGAGAACTTCTTGAACCCAGGAGTTGAAGGCTGTGGTGAGCTATGAGCATTCCCCTATGCCCCAGACTGGGTGACAGTGTGAGACCCCATCCAGGGCTTCAGCTAGAGCAGTGGTCCTCAACCTATGGGTCATGACTCCTTTGTAACAATGAAAATATATCCTTCATATCAGATATTTACATTGCGATTTATAACAATAGCAAAATTACCATTATGAAGTAGCAACAAAAATAATTTTATGGTTGGAGGGTCACCACAACATGAGGAACTGTATTAAAGGTTTGAGGCATGGCTCGGTGCCTATAGCTCAACTGGCTAAGGCTCCAGCCACGTACATCTAAGGTGGTGGGTTCGAATCCCCAGCCCAGACCTGCCAAAACAACAATGACAGCTGCAACCAAAAAATAGCCGGGCGTTGTGGCGGGCGCCTGTGGTCCCAGCTACTTGGGAGGCGGAGGCAGGAGACTCACTTGAGCCCAGGAGTTGGAGGTTGCTGTGAACTATAATGCCACAGCACTCTGCCCAGGGGGACAGCTTGAGGCTCTGTCTCAAAAAAAAAAAAAAAAAAAGGGGTGGGGCATTAGGAGGCATTAGGAAGGTTGAGAACCACTGAGCTAGAGTATTCTTTTTTTTTTTTTTTTTTTTTGTGAAATAGAGTCTCACTTGTCGCCCTATATAGGGTGCTGTGACGTCAGCCTCCAACTCTTGGGCTAAAGTGATCCTTTTGCCTCAGTTTTTCTATTTTTAGTAGAGATGGGGTCTTGCTTTTTGCTCAGGCTGGTCTAGAACCTGTGAGCTCAAGCTGTCCACCCACGTTGGCCTCCCAGAGTGCTAGGATTACAGGCATGAGCTTCCATGCCCGGCCTATAGAATTCATTTTTAAGATTCATACTGCTACTGACAAGAGGCCTCAGTTCCTCACCGCAGAGGTTTCTGCATAGGGCTAATGCTAAGGGAACTTTGCATCTCTCCTGGGTGAAAGGGAGTGGGGGGAAGGAACTTTAGAAGAAACAGAAAGAGGAACCCAGGAGAACTTAACCTTACTGAGAATAAGACATGTTTACTAAACAGACCAGCTTACTGCCTTGCAGTTTCAAGTTGCTAAAAGTAACTAAAAATAACTTTGCTGTATGAAAAGCAGTATAGCCAAAATTCTGAGTTTCAGATCCTTACAGTGGAGGGAATAAGAGTACTCGACTCATGGGTTAAGTAGTTAATGTATAGAAAATGCCTGTAACAGTATACTCTCTGGAATCAAACATCAATCAAAATTCTGGTTAACAGTATACTCTCTGGAATCAAATGTCAATCAAAATTCTGAGTTTCAGATCCTTACAATGGAGAGAATAAGACTCGACTCATGGGTTAAGTAGTTAATGTATAGAAAGTGCCTGTAACAGTGCTGTCATGTTAACTTTAAATGGAATCGTGTATCCATTTTATCTTAAAATTATTCAGATGTCTTTTATAAAATAAGATTACATTCAGCTGGACACGAATGTCTCATGCCTGTAATCGTAGCAATTTGGGAGGCTGAGGTGGGTGGATTGCTTGAGCTCAGGACTTCTAGACCAGCCTGACCAGGAGGGAGACCCTGTCTCAAAAAAAAAAAAAAATAGCAGGATGTTGTGGCAGGTGACTATAGTCCTAGCTGCTTGGGAGGCTGAGGCAGGAGGATCACTTGAGCTCAAGAGTTTGAGGTTGCTGTGAGCAGTGATATCACTGCACTCTACCAAGGGGACTGAGGGAGACTCTGTCTCAAAAAATAAAATAAATATGCCTGTAGTTCCAGCTACTTGGGAGGCTGAGGCAAGAGAATTGCTTAAGCCCAAGAATTGGAAGTTGCTGTGAGCTGTCATGCCCCGGCACTCTACTGAGGGTGACATAGTGAGACTGAGTCTCAAAAAAAAAAAAAAAATTCCACGCATCTCTAAAATTTTGCTTTCTTTACCACAGGGTGTTCCAGGCTGGTGTCAGCTCAGATATTATTCCCTCAAGGCTGTCTCTGACCAAACAGTGCAGACTACCCTGGGTCAATTTCAGTGGTGTTTAAATATATTTCTATGCCTTATCACTAGCTGAAATTCTTTATTTGCTTCCCAGTTTATAGTGTATCTTCTCTGTAAGTGCCTAAAAGAGGGCTGGTACATATTTTTTTCTTAAATATTTGTTGAATGACTGTGACCAAAGCTGCTATATGTGTATACCATTTCTTCATAAGTAACAACTCATTCTTTTTTTTTTTTTTTTTTTAAGACACAGTCTCAAGCTATTGCCCTGGGTAGAGAGCTATGGCATCACAGCTCACAGCAACCTCAAACTCCTAGACTCAAGTGATTCTCCTGCCTCAGCCTCCCAATTAGCTGGGACCACAGGCACCTGCCACAATGCCTGGCCATTTTGTTGTTGTTGTTGCAGTTGTCATTGTTGTTCTTTAGCTGGCCTGAGCCAGACTTGAACCTGTTAGCCTCAGTGTATGTGACCCATGCCCTACTCACTGAGCTATGGGCACCTCCATAACAACCCATTCTTAAACAATTTAGTGAGTTGAATTTGCCACATCTTTCCTTTTTGAATAACATTGATTTTTCACACCAGGTTCATTAAAATTGTTTAATGAGAATATGGTATGGGAAAATGAAATTAGATCACTTCTGATAAAAAATTTCTTCTGCGGGTACCTGTAGTCTCAGCCACTCAGGAGGCTGAGGCAAAAGAATTACCTAAGCCCAAGAGTTTGAGGTTGCTGTGAGCTGTGACATCATGGCACTCTACCCAGGGCTATAAAGTGAGACTCTGTCTCTAAAAAAAAAAAATTTCTTCAAATGATTGTGGTCTACATAGCTGTTTTCAGTTTTTTTCTTACTATGGAATGGCATGTATAGAAAAAGTGCTAAGGAATTTTCACTGATACATTTATTATCAAAATACTTTAAACTTAAAGAATAAAACAGTTGTCCAAGCATTTCTGTATTGCCTCACTGTAAAAATTATAACATGATAGCTAATATATATTGAGTAGTGTAAGTAATATGCTATTCTGTTTTTCTTCTGAGTTCTGAATCTGAAATAATATGCTATTCTAAATTCTTTATATGGATTAAATCATTTACTTCTCATGATATTATCAATGTGAGTCTGTTATTTTCATATTATAGATGAGAAAACCAAAAATAGAGTTAGGTTTACAAGGTCACAGATCTAATAAATGTATATTGCTGGTAAATGTGCATGTGTATTTACTAATGTGTTTACTTTTGAAAACTATAAGTACTTTGGTAATTCTTGTCTCTAGAATTACTTACAATGCACATCTTACAATGTACATTTCCAGTGTTCAGTGTTTATTGACTGTATCTTTGTTATATACTTAAGAAAGTATTACTGGCTTGGCACCTGTAGCTCAAGTGGCTAAGGCACTAGCCACATACACTGGAGCTGGTGGGTTAGAATCCAGCCTGGGCCCACCAAACAACAATGACAACTACAACCTAAAAAGAGCCGGGCATTGTGACGGGTGCCTGTAGTTCCAGCTACTTTGGAGGCCGAGGCAAGAGAATTGCTTAAGCCCAATAGTTGGAGGTTGCCGTGAGCTGTGACGCCACGGCACTGTACCTAGGGCAACAGCTTGAGACGCTTATCTAAAAAAAAGAAAATGTTACTGCCAAATTGAAGACAGCTTCACACAGATATGTAAAGCAGTATATATAATGTTTCTAATAGATCATTTCTCTTTAGTTGATGGAACACAGCAAGAACTTGATGAAATCAGTCTACTTACTGCTATCACAGTATTCATTTTGTCTGCCAGTCCGGAAGTAACTATCATCCCATGCCTCCAGAAGCGTTGTATTGAGAAATTTAAGGCTACTCTTCAGATAAAAGATCCTATGGTAAGTGTCTTTTAGCAAAGAGGTATTTGTAATAGGAATATGTTTAGACTTTTGCAAAACTTTTCTAAGTGATTTTGTTGGCTCCAACAAGAAGTATCAGACACAATTTTTTTAATTTTTAGATTTGGGATTAATTTCTATTCCTGAAGTGACAAAGACAAATAATTTTATGGCCTTGTTCTTTGATCTCAAGGTTAGAGAAGATAGTGAGAAAAAGAGAAAATGTTAAAAAACACTAAATTTGAAGTGGGAACCTTAAAACTGATTTAGCTCTAGAACTTTATAAGGGGCTTTTATAAGATACTTTATAGTTTATTGAAAGGTTATTTTAAAATGAGAGGTTATTTCAAGATATGAACCAAAGGAAGCAGAGTCTAGGTTCTCTGTGAGCAACATGGCCTTTATTCACTCTCGTGCCAGAAGGCTGAGTTTGAAAAAGAAGTCAGCACATGGGTTAAGGCAGGGTAGGAATATAAGGGTTGAGGGAGTGGGTTTTTGTCACTCATTCCTTCCTGGGCAGGACTTGTGTACTCATTCTGTGTCCCTGCACTGGAGACACTATTTGGGTGGGTTCCCACAGTGGGCCCTATCCTTTATTACCGTGGATTCCTTTTTTTTTTTTTCTTTTTCAGACAGAGTCTCACTTTGTCACCCTCCGTAGAGTTCCATGGCATCATGTCATAGCTCACAGCAACCTCCAACTCTTAGGCCCAAGCAATTCTCTTGCCTTAGCCTCCCAAGTAGCTCCCACCCGCTACAGGTGCCCACCACAACACCCCGCTTAGAGACAGGGTCTCACTCTTGCTCAGACTGGTCTCAAACTCATAAGCTCAGGCAATCTACCCATGTTAGCCTCCCAGAATGCTAAGATTACAGGAGTGAGCCACTGTGTTGGGCCACAGTGGATTCCTTTAATTAAAAAAAAGAAAAACATGGAAGGAAGACTCCAGCACATGTCTTCAATAATATGATTGTGAGATAATAGATTTCATTCCAAAAATAATACATGCAAGTTGATCACATTCTTTTATGTCCCCTTTATTTGCTAGATTGATGTACTATTCTTTTATGTGCTACAAAATAAGTTTGTAGCTTCTGATCCCAAATTTTTCTACTCCTAAAAATAAAGATTTTTTTCTCAGAAAAAAACAATTATCAAAATATACAGGTGGATGCAAACAAGCTGTTGAACCATCAAGCCCACACCTGTTATCCTAGTACTGTGGGAGATTGAGGTGGGAGAATCCCTTGAGGCCAGGAATTCAGTACCAGCCTGGGCATCATAGCAAGACCCATCTCTACAAAAAGTAAAATAAAATATCCAGACATGGTGTCATGTACCTATAGTCTCAGATACTTGGGAGGCTGAGCAGAAGGATAGCTTGAACCCAGGAGTTTGAAATTGCAGTGAGCTGTGATCAGTCCCTTGTATTCTAGCCCCATCTATAGAGTGAAACTCTATCTCAAAAAAGCAAAACAAAAACCACACACAGTGGGCGGCATCTGTGGCTCAGTGAGTAGGGCGCTAGCCCTATGTACTGCGGGTGGTGGGTTCAAACTCAGCCCCAGCTGAACTGCAACAAAAAAATAGCTGGGCATTGTGGTGGGAGCCTGTAGTCCCAGCTGCCCAGGAGTTGGAGGTTGCTGTGAGCTGCTACGCCATGGCACTCTACTGAGGGCAATAAAATGAGACTCTGTCTCTAAAAAAAACACACACACAATTAACTCAATAAAATTATTTATATGCTTGATGTATAACTATCTCCTCTTTCTGTCCCATTCCTTGCCTGATGCCTACAGGAGCTTTGTGTGGCAGCCTCCAAGTGGTGGTGCTGAAGTATGATGACATACCATTACTGTGGTCCAAACATGGGTCCTTGAAACCTTCAGACCTTGATTTTTTTTTTTTT